CCTCTTTAATCCAGGCACTCATTACCAAGCGGATATATATCGTCCATGGGTCGAAGCCATGCGCTTGGGATCATCAGCGAAGCCATCAGAGCCATCTAAATCACAGCACGTCGTATCGCTGGGTGTTTACCCAATAATTAACTAAAGGAATCATGAATTCATAAACAAAAAAAAATTAAAAAATGTTTATATACATATATATATATAAATTTTATATAATTGAAACCATCAAATATAGAGGTAAGGAAGAGGGGGCGGGGCCGACGTTATCTCCCGCTCTAAATAATTTGGAAACAAATAAAGCATAAAATAATACAAAAGATTTACCGAAAATCCAAGAAAAATTATTTTTTTAATTTCTTGTTCTGTACAAATTATTCCATGGTACAGACCCATATTTATTAAATTATCAACATTTGCCTAAATCTTCGTGAATAGCTTTATCTCACTGCAATCTATTACTTTTTTTTTTTTTTTTTTAGAAAATTCAATTTAGAGATCGCAAAACTTTGTCTATTTAATTAGATACTGAATAATCATGAACACCCATTTACTTTCCATTTGAATCGTAACATAATGGCCTACAAAAATATTGGACCATATTGGTCCATTTGGCGTGATCCACTGGACCCCCAACATGTCAAAATAACGAAATTATATAGGCCTAACGTTCTAATATTTTTGTAGGTCACCTTTTTTTGTTTTTTTCAATTTCGAGATTATATTAACTTAAGATCCAAGAGTAAAGCAAATGTCTATTTATGAGTATTTAGTACTTAATTAAATTAATCAGTTTCATTGGAAAACGCCCCATTTCTGAAAATTTTCATAGATAAAAAATTTGTAGGTAACGAAATGAAACTATTTCACGACGTTTTAGGTAGATGTTAATAATTTGATAAAAAGGGGTCCGTTACCACGGACTATATATTTTGTTTCATATAAACATATGTATCAATTGTAGTAACAATAAACTAGATTATATAATATTATAGAATTTGAAATCATTTAAATACCTGAGATTTTTCGGATATTTAGACTAACCTACCATCCTTTTCCTCTCCCCCCTCCTCTTGGATGATTGACGGTAGTTTGAGTAATATGTCTCTGCTCAGAATAGAAACTTCAATATATAATCCTAATAGGGTATATAAATAAATATAAATTCAATTTATTATTTAGTTTCAGTAGATTACTTGAATTCATTCATCGATTGTTTAGAAAATTAAGTAACTTTGCAACCGAAATTGATTAAAAAAGAATAACTTTTCACATTTAATTATCATCATAATATTTTTTCACCTACATAGTTCAGCTGTTGAGAAAATTAGAAAAACTATATTTTTATGAAATCAAAAAACGTTTTATTGGATAGATCCAGCGAAACACTACTTAATGCTTAACCAATTAACAATACCACGCAGAACTGGATTAGTGTTGCCCAAATGCGATACCAAGACGTGTCTTGGTCTTGCATACTCAGTCTGGGTCTTGGTCTGATTTTTGCGAAACAGCCTCTCAACAGTCTTGCAGTTACCTATTAGCTTATTTCTATAGAGATATTACTGTAATTGTTTAGATAGGAGAAGCCTAACTAAACCCGAATGAAAAATTAGAAGAGTTGAATGCAAAAGTATATTGGTTATACCAGTTTTTTACACATGGTAACTAAAATTTTCAAGTGTTAGTAACTATTTTGCCATAATTTTTATTCCAAAAATCGGTTGTTTTTTTTTACCAGTCTTGGTCTTGCAACAATTATGTTGACTTGGTCTTGGTCCAAGACCGATTTCGGGAAACACTAACATGGATGAAATTTACAATGTTTTAACTGAAATGATATGGGTCGTATTGGAACTTTCGGGAAAAGATAACCGCCTACATAATTAATAATAACAACTGTCAATCTTGTTCAAGTGTGCAATATATTAAAAATTCGTAGAAATAAATTTCCATGCTTAGGACAAGGATGAGTTTAAGTAATAATTTTTTGTGTGTGTGTTTTTGAATATTTACTAAGTCAAGAGGCTAGAAAAGATTTTTTTTTTCAATAAAATTGTTCTTTCTTTATTTTTTATGTTCGACTTAATAAATAAAAAGTAATAAACATACATACATACTTTTAGTATGTACTCAAAGAGCCATTCCCATTTTTAAACATTGATTTGAAATAAAATACACAAATTTATAGAGCGGCCGAATAAGTTCAGAATATCGACTATTATGAATTCATTTTTTAAGGATAACAATAGTTTCTTTTCGATTTTAATATCCTAGAAAATAAGGAAAATAATATAAAGCCATTGCTACAGTTGTCCACCATATTTCCTTCTTTTATTTTATATTTTTTATCCCCATCTTCTCTTTCTAGTTTATCATTCCATGCCAAAACAATATATTTTCCGACCCCATAGATCCTCCGAAACAATAGGTCAAAAACCCTAGGATTTATACTTTTTGGTAATACTGCCAGAATGTAAAATAGCCAAGTTTCAGACGGTAGAAAAACATTCGCTAGGGTGTGAATAGTTTTGGCACGACCGTAAGAGACCGGTATAAATCATACATAGGTTCCATTGTTCCACCCTTTGGAGGGGCAATGAAAAACCGCGTCTTTCCATAGTTGTATTATGGCTGAAAAAAAAAGGAAAACTTGTGAAAGTCCCATGTCGCATTAAACCATTCCATTGTTACTGAGAAATATTTCTTTAATAATACCTCCATTTTTTTAATTAATGTTCTCATAAAAAAACAATAATTAGCTCTTATACCAAGCTATGGACTTTGATATGGGTTCAACTATGTAGTGATGGCAAAATCACTTGCAACACGACGAAATTCAATTAAATTTAAGTTAAATACTAGTCATGTATGATTAAGATTAACAACGATGTGTACAATTAATAATTGCCAAGGAATGATAAGAGATGTGTGAATAACAATTACATTTTCTTTTTCCAAAATATAAACTGCCCCTTACTGTAATATATTTTGGGCGAAGCCGATATTAGAACCGACATATTTCATTTCGCCTCAACGAGGAGTACTAAGACGACATTAGGTTGCCCACAGAATCGTGGAAACTGCACTTACTTACCCTAACCCAGCCATAACGTAGAAGTGGGTGTCAGGCAAGACAATATACTGCGGAGGGCCGGCCACCTTATAACTGCATACCGTGAGCCCTTGGGTATTTATTGTATTGTGGGTATCCTGGACCTTGCTGTGTGGTGTACTTTGCTATAGTATTCTTGGTCTGATATATATCCTCTTGTTACCTTAGGAACATAAAGGTTGGTTTATTTTTATTTTTAATTGGACCAATCAAGATTTTATATATTTAAATGAATATTAAAACAAAAGCCTATAGTGAAATCTACAAACAAACATCCTTCGTTTATAAATATTAATACAACCTAGAACGCAACCTTTTTTTTTTCCAGGAAATGCACCTACCTTAAACTTTCATGACTTCTTAGGGTTCCATTATGAAAGCACCAACGGTAGATTGTGACCTGATTGGCGAGGAAGGAAATGTCAAGTGATTGAATTGCAAGATTGAATACATTCGGTCACGCGGTCTCGTTAGCCGAAGATTCCGCGAGAGATAATTCGATTGCAAAGGAAAGCTCAGTATGGGTAGTGGACCGCTCCGCCCATTAACCAATATTTATGGTTAATTTTTGCAGTCTTGGAGCGTTCGAGATGTAGAAAGGCCTAACTAACACAAGGATCATAGTTGCAATGCATAGCTTCGTTAACATAGTGACAGTTTCTGTCATGACAGTATTGTCCCGACAGAGAGATAACGTCATTTTTCATATACGAACAGTAAAATTGGCGGTTATTGTACAGGCAATGCCATTATTATTTTGAAAAAAAAAAATAATGTATATTGTTTTTTTCTGGCTTAATCGTCCTTCTTTATCTCTGACTATTTTGGACTATTGCTTTCTAGTTACTTACAAGCAGATTCGTAAGGTTTTCTGTTGATTCGATCTGTCCATCCATCTCTTTTTGGGTTTTCACCGCGGTCTCATAACTACTGTTGAGGATCCTACATACCCCATCATATTAAATCATGACGTCACAACATATAACATTTACACTTCGACGAGAAACGTTCCCACCAGTTTATATAGGAGAGGACCGAATTCCTCAGACAAACATCGTACGTTAACTTGGACTAATATTCGACAGAGGGATGACCTGATGCCAACACGTCAAAATGAAACGACAGACTTTAAACAAGCGACTGATAATATAGCACTTACTTTTTTCTAAATCGAAATTAAAAGTTCGTCAAAAACTAAATACTTGCCTACTCAAACACGTCTAGATATACGCCTCTCACTAACAAAAACTACAGTAATTTCACTCCAAAATGTTATGACTTATAACAGGAGCTCCCTGGTACGTCAACAACAAAACTTTATTTAACGACTTACTATAGATCAACACATACGTACTCTCTACTATCGTTTTTATCTCAAACTACACGGACACACAAAATGACTTATCGACGACATGGCCATGACTGACATGCCCATCAGGAGGAGACTAAAATGGAGATGGATGAGAGATCGCCTCACATAAATCAAGGAAGTAAATAAGGAATAAGTGCTGGGTACTATCCTTCCTCATGCCTATAATGTCAATACTTATGATCACAACACATCTGCTGATTGTCAATACCATGAAAGGTGCGGACAAATAGTTAAAGAGAAAAAAAAAACTCTGTAAATTCTTTTCTGAGTTTCCCAAACTGATTGTATGTATTATAATTTAGTACGAATGTTCTTAAATTTTTCTACGAATCATATTTTTCTGTTTTGATGCATAAAAATGTGCTCTGAAGAAACAGAACTCGTTTATTACTTCAACCTTTTACTACCTCACGGATCAGTCCACTTTCCTCACTAATTAAACGTTTCGAAATCCCAAAAAATAATCTATTAAGAACAGGAGACGCCTCGGCGTTCGAGACTTTCGCGTTGTGCATGCTCCGATATCCGTCACTTCGTGATTTAGCCCTCCCGGTAGGTATCTCCAACATCAGGGACCACCACGAAGTCGAAGGAGTGATATTGAAAAACTAGGCTCACAGGGGAACGTGTTAAAGTCAGGTCGTGGAGATTCGTATCCGATGCCTCTTTCCCACCGCCGCATGAGATCTGATGCAGTCTGGGTTCTTTGGAGCGAAAGGTAGTATCAGAAGGTCTAAATAAATAATAAACAACGAGGAAATTTAATTAAATTTTTATATACAAAAAATATTAGTAAAAATAATATTTTATTTATTTTGTGCACTCCAAGATCACAAAATAAAGTCCTATTTGTTCATTATATATATTTACAGAAAAATGGGTACATAAATAAAGAAAATAATTAAGGATTATATTATTTGTTGGGACTAAAACGGTGTTGGATGAGAGATATGATTATTTAAACAACGTAAGTAATTGGAACAAGTTAGGGAAGAGGTACTGCTGAGTACTTTCCTTAACCATGCCTGTCATTAGTGTTGCCCAAATGCGAGACCCAGACGAGTCTTGGTCTTGCAAACCCAGTTTCGTCATGGTCTTGGTCTTGCACAAGAGTCTCGCAACAGTCTTACAGTACTGTATTTTGTAGGCAGGAGAAACCTAACTAAGCCTGAATGAAAAATTAGAGGAAATAACAGCAAAACTATATTTGTTATACCAATTATTTACATATAGTAACTATGATTGTCGAGTATTAGTAACTATTTTGCCTTAATTTTTTATTAAAAACATCGATTTTTTTACCAGTCCTGGTCTTGGTCTTGCAACAGTTAGGCGGCCTTGGTCTTGGTCTTGCACTTTGCAAGACCAAGACCTATTTTGGGCAACACTACCTGTCATGTCATTATTTCATGTATCGCCATCACATTTGCTGATTGTCAACAATAAGTTGACAGGCGCAAATACATTTTTATAGAAAAAAAAATATTAATTGTTAAGAATTAAACTGAAGATTAGACCAATAATAGTACTGAGAAAATAAATAAATATGAAATAATAATAATAGTTTTCAATAATATCAATTTTTATTTTTCTACCTCTATTTAAGAGACTAATTTGTGTTGATGTCAAGATTTTTACTAATTGAAAATTCCTTAATTTAATTGAGTATATATTGGTCTCATAAAAATAGAAATAAAATAAAGTTTAAAAAATAGCCAACATTAATAAATAACGTTTAATATATAAAATCGCATCCCCGATGGTCATTGATTAAAAAAAACTGTGATTTATAAAAAAAATTAACATTCGAAATAAATGGCGCTATCCCTAAAAATATACTTGATACAAATTTACGGCAATAATTATATTAGTTGAAAGAATGAATTACTCTAATTTTAACATTTTGGATTAATAATTTTAGTGATATTTCTATTGAGAAATATTTATACCGTTATTCAACACTCTACCTTTCAATCTACACTGGATTAAATTTACTCACTCTCTGTACAGACATTATAAATTTATCAAATTGAATTATCACTTAAATGACTTTACTCAAAAATGTTGAAATTTGAATTAGTCATTCTGTCAACTGAAAGGCTCATATAATATATTAAAAAATGTATATTCTTTTAGAATATATACTTTAAAATTTAATTGTACAGTTTATAAGTTCAATTATAATTTTTAAAATCTACGAATTTTATAAATTAGCTTCGGCACATATATCTTATATGATTTTTGAAAGTTATCTTTCGGTTTAAAAATTACATTTATATTTTTTTTTGTTTTGTTTTTTTTTATTAAAAAAGTATTAAGAAATGCTGAAATATCAAATGGTATACTTTTTTTTAGAATCAAATATAAACGACTTAGCATTTGTGGTGCAATAAATTTAAAATTTTTGGAAGATTTTCACAGTTTATGTGTAGTGTTCTTTCGGATTCCAGACTGGATAAAAGATATCACTTAAGATTTTGACACCGTAGCTCATCCCAACTTATCTTTACATCAGGAGTTGATGGGACCGCGGAAAGGTCGTATACCCAGGTACAAGGTGAGAAATCTAATACCACAGAAGGATAGTATTTCCTCAAGTGTAAGATATTAATCAGACATAAGAAAAAGAATTCCGGAGCGAGGTTTGTGAATATAAGTCAAATATTATTAATTAAATTTCATAATTATAATATATTATACTAATAATTATTATTCACTGAAGTTTGAAGAGGATGGAGGTGATAGTTAATCATTTTTAATTTGTTTGAAAAACTGAATTAAAATCAGTATCATTCGGCATAACGCCGAGGTACGAGTATATCGTCAATGGGCACATCTATCAACTCGATAATGAATCAAACATTAAATTTATGCGAATGTAAGGAAGAAGTTCTTAAACATGTCACACTCTAGGTATATTCACTTAAAACTTCAATCCAGTGAACTTATTGATGAACTAATGTCGATGGCCAATCACTATGTATGTGTTAACATACATTAACTATCAGATACATGTAATAACTATAAGTATTCGTCCATGTAAAAATTAAGTGGGATTGAGAGTAACAATATATATATATATATATATATATATATATATATATATATATATATATATTTTAAACTAATTTATTGAGAAATGTTGCTATTAATTAAGGACATTCATAATAGTATCCAGAGAATACATTCACACTCTATATATAATAAATAAAAATAAATTAAACAGAAAAATAATAATACTAAAAGTAAATGTATATAAACAAAAGAGAAACTAAACTGATCAATGCAACAATTTAAACACAAGCATACTTTTTTTCATCAGTTTAATTTTATTTCATATATTAGTTTATAGTACGCCTTTGTTTAAGACGTTTATTATACCTTTTGAAGAATTTGTTTTTTGATATACTATTTTATTTTGTTCCCATTTGTATGTATTACTTTTATTGCTATTACTTAACTTATTTACTAAAATTTTATATGTGTAGGGTGTGAATGTGCTCTCTGATATATATGATAATTGTCCTTAATTGATACAGTATGTAATATTTCTTAACAAACAAGTTAAAAAGTATTTAATATATGTATTAAATTAGTATTTAATATTAAAAAGTATTTAAATATATATTTTTTTATTTTTGTTTCTGACTGTGGGTGCACCCACTGCACTTTCCAACAATATTATCGATAGTTACCTAATTTTTCCTCGATTAAAAACTAAATAGTTGCCTCTTCAACCCAGTAAATTTTCAGGTGCAGTGGTCAGAGTTCTAGGAAGAACACTTGAAGAAAATCTTCAAGACACGTCTCGATTACACATCAATATGCAGTCAATTGCACATTGTGTAAAAAGTGTAGTGTACTATCATAGAAAAATAAATAAATAAATTTATTGCCGGCTTACTCAATATTTTTCAATTACAATTCGAATGACTCATGACAATAAATAGAGGTATTACATTGCTTCCATTAATTAATTGCCTGACTCCTTTATTTTCGCGACAAAGCTATACAGAGGAAATTCCTCCGCGCCTACGAAACATCAATTACAGAGATTACATAAATATCAAAGAAGAATAAGTAGATTACGAGCTAATGCCTCCATCACGCATGACCGCAGGGCATACAATTTTTCTATCACGGATAAAAACTTGTTTGACTAGAACAAAATGTAAACAGGTGCATAATGTGCCTTCGCATTGAGATATTAAAACGTCTCGAGCGTGTCGTGCTCTCAGCTCCTGCGGGGGATAAAAAATTCTTTCCTCGGACGAAAATGAAAAAAAAAAAAAAAAAATGCGGAGACGGGAGTCGCCATTGGTTGGCCATTACGAAACAAGAGCCCATGTATAATTCATCCAATCCCAATCAATCATGTTGGAAGGTGGGGGGGAGGACCTTGTGCTTGTCGTTCACCCTTCCCCCACCAGTCCTCCCTCCTGGAGATTAATCTACCTTCCAGTATTATTTATTGTCGAGCCATTATATAAATTAAGTGATTATTTCGCTTCCAGGCTTGCCTCGACTCCAGCAGGTATACTCCTTCTTGCACCTGTGACGGCGTGGAGGTGCAGTCGGGTCTTACTGAATCAGAAATTAGGGGTTACAAATTCCCTAATTCTGCTATTTCATTCATGGGATGGTACCAATCTTGTGGTCTTTGCGTATGAAGATATTAAGTTTGGTTTCGGATTAGTTTGCATTATGAATGATCTAATGGTTTGCGTTAGGCGCGTTTTACGAACGAAATTTGTTTTCTTACTAAGTTAAGGTTATAATTTTTTTTTTTTAATTCGTCTCTTTATTCGCACCTTTGACAATCGGCAAATGTGAAGTACAAAATAATAATCTTGTCTGGAAATGGAGAAGGATAGTATATAGCAACACTTTTTGATCTTGATTCAGTCCTGTAATTTAAGAGAGATCTCTTATCCATCTTCTATTTAATCGACTCTTAATGAGCACGTTAGCCATATCCCTTATGAGTCTCTTTTCCTTGAAGTTTATTATGTAAACAAGAATAAAGAGAACGTATTGTATTGTTAGTTGTTATAAATCGAAATGCTTAGTTTTGTAATTTACGTACGAGGAAGAGTCTTTTAGTCTTAAAATTTAGGAACGAATAGGTTGTAGTTTTTGCAAGTGTGTATTTTTTATACATCTGAACCATAAAACCGTTTAGAGTTTCGAAACCGGCCCATTCAATTTCGTTTTTACAAAATAATTGTTCATTTGTATTTCTATTTATTTATAAATCCTTAATTTTTCTATACACCGGATTTGAAGTATATTTTAATAATATTAAATTAATATATTTTCGGAATTATCAGGAATTATTTAGCAATTAACTAGGAAAATATAAACTTTTCAAGCAAATGCTCTATACGATTTATGGGTCTCATAAAATATAATTCAAATGACTAAGTTTTAAATTATTCCCAATTTCAAAATATTTCATTATATCCATGCATTTTCATTAATATATATATGTATTAATATACCGTAAGATGGGTAAAATTTAGTTTGTGGTGATTCCTAGGTGGATACACTGTGTTTGTCCAGTCTTCACGTGCTTTCAGTAGGCATGTACTGCGCCACAACCATGCGGCACACTACTCTTGAGGCACAAATGAAAGTTTCATGAAAACAATATATTTTGTTATATATATTATATATATTGAATTTTTAACAAAAATTGAAATGAATACAATAAAACCTAACTACACAACAAAAGTGTTAAGTAACTATAGTTCTCAAACTGCCGCAAGGTAGTAGCTCAATATATGCCTACACAAAGCACGTTTAGGCAGACTGAGCCAACACATTGTATCTACCAAGAAACCACCACAAACTAAATTTTATATGCTGTTCCAATTTAACCCCATCTCACGGTACATATTTATCTTAAATGTATATTTTAAATAACTTTAAAGTCCTCATTGAATATTTCTTATGTATATTTTTGCAATTACACCTGGTTAAAAATAATAAGAGAAACGATGCAAATTTAAAAATAATAAATAAATCAAAAGGCCGCAGTTAAATTGATTTTAAAATTATGTTCTCCTTAAACCCTTTCGCTAACATGCTGGATGAATGTTCCCATTAATGGTTGAGAAAGCTTCTCCCTTAATGTTATATATCATAGAGCATTACTCCTGAGATGGTCTCTATTTCTTTGGACAATCACGTGAGGCGTCACCGTCCCAAGTCACGCTACGTTCCGATGGAGACATTGTGGAAGATCGTGTCTTCGATCGTAAGTTACAAGAACTGCCTCTTGATCAAGAGGTTGGTACTTTCCGTAGTCCGTCGAAGAGATAAAATGTTAAAATCAAGTATATAAAATTAATATCTAAAAAATATAATTAAAAATAAGCAAAGGCTGGAAGTATAAAAAAAAAAAATAAATCATGGAGCCTCTCTAGAGGTATTGCCCAAATGCGAGACCAAGACGAGTCTTGGTCATGCGCACTCAGTCTTGGTATTGCGCAAGAGTTTTGCAGTTACCTATTAGCTTTTTAATATCGAGATATGTCTGTGATATTTTAGACAGGAGAAATCTAACTAAACCCAAATGAAAAATTAGAATAGTTAAATTCAAAAGTATATTAGTTATATAAATTCTTTATGCATATTAACCAAAATTGTCAAGTATTAATAACTATTTTGCCTTACTTTTTATTCAAAAAATCTATTTTCTTTACCAGTTTTGTTCTTGGTCATACAACAGTTAGGTCGTCTTGGTCTTGTAAACTGCCAGATCAAGACCAATTTTGGGCAACACTAATCCCTATGAAGAAACAAGACTCTAAAGAGTCGTAAGCTACATTACAAACTTAAGCCAATAGTAAATAAATATTATTTTATTTTCTATTTATGAAATCACCATACATGAAAATAAAGAAAATACGAATTATTTTGATGTAATTATGAACTAATAGTTTACTTAACTAATTAATATATATAGATACGATTATATTTACAATATTGAAGAGAATCCTCAGGAAATAACTCGGATACAACAACACTAACAAGACCCAGGACAGTACTGACGTGAGAACAAGCCCAACACCTGGGACCAGGTGACAACAAAACCTACCCCAAGGGACATCCTAAGGGTGGGTTCAAGATGGCCCCGGGCTTGAAATTAACCCTATCCAATGGCTGTTCAGCATTTAGGGGCAGATGTTTTTCACTGGCCGCACCGGCTCGTTTGAATTTCAACAGAGTCTGTCCCTTCGGCCCTGGAAATTCATTGGGATTCAAATGCTAAACATTTGAAATAAAAAAAAACAAAACAACATTTAATATACAATTTAGAACTTTATATTTATATAATATTTAATAGTTGGCCGTTGCATTATAAAGGAAGCAGATGGTCCGAGGTGGCGGTCATAAATAGTGGCAAAACTATATTATTAAAAGCCAACGTTTCGACCCGACTTTGCAGGTCTTCTTCCGGAAGGTATGTTCAGCTAGGAGTTTCATTTAGAACTGCTGAAGAACACTCCAAAAAAATAATCAAATGTTGAACTTTTTCAAACAAATGTTGGTTCAATTGTGACCACAGTTAAGTTAATAATTAGAATTTATCTTGAACTAATGATGCTGTCAGGTAAAATTATTTGAAATGATCTTCCTTTTGAAGGTAATGTTTTCAGAATCAGACTATAATCACTTTTGCATAACAATAGGTTTTATATATCTCATATTTTGCATATTTTTATGTGTTATTATTTTTGTTCTGTTGCCTTTACAGACCTTGTATATCTTTAGTCATGTTAAACAACCGTCATTTTTCTTCTTTGGTCAACTATTTTCTATCTCTGCCTTTCTTGGACTATTGTTTGCCAGAACTGTATACAGCTCAACAGCTTATTTGTTGTTTCGGTCAATCCATGCTCTACTGCTCATTGCTATGTAGAGGCTTCCTCATGGATTGCTCCGAGCTATATGGTATGCAGCTCATCTTAACCTCCTTGCCTGCATATCATGAGATATTTGTATACTATTTACCATAATCATGTCTTCATTCTTAATCCTTCTTCTTCGTTAGTACTCTGATCCCAGAACGCTCCGGTAATATGCATAGGATTTTCCTCTGAAATACTTCTAATACTTATAACTTATAAGCGAAGTTAATAAAATGAATGTCATGACATGAGCGGATCCAAAACAATAAATGCGCAGAAAAAAAAAAAAAAAAAAACTATCAAGGAAGAGAAAACAGCAGGGCTCCTTGAAAATATAGAAGATATCAAATTTTAGCAACTGTAAAAGATAGAATTTACTGAGCATTGGCATATTCATTAAATTGTAGATTCAATCATAAAAAGAAGTTTATATAAATTTGACTAGAAGCAAAATAATAGTGAAAAAATGTACATGAAATAGCGACAGAGAAATAATGTTTTTTTTTTTTTTTTAGATGATAAATAACAGACAGGCCTACGCACCTTCATTTCATTACAAAAGAAAACCCGCCCATTTGTCGGAGTGTGGAGACAGAATGACAGTGGTCCATATTTTTGAGAGTTGTGGCTCTTACATCAGAGAATTAAATAAATGGAGAATACCAGCAAATACATAGCTGATTTGGGAAATGATAAAAAAATTCTTGAATAAAATCATATGTTTCCTCTCTGAAGAAAAAATCTTTAAAAACCTCTGAACTTCTCACGCAGCACTTCCCCCCTCTTTTCCCCCTCCCCCTCATTAAATGACTAAACTTCCATTTTACGTATATTCAATTTTATTTTATTCCTGTTATTCACAACCAGATGATATAATTATATACAATCTTAATTAACGGCGTTGATAACCAACAGGTTACGCCTTTACAATACAACACCCAACCAACCAACCAACTGATCTTACATATGATTTTTAGAATGTATCAATATTGTGTAATCAATATGCGAATTTCTGAACCTCTGAACAGTCAATTGGTTAACTGCAAAATTGCCGACTCCTCAGTTGTTTTACAAGCCTGAGTCAGCCCCATAAGATTTATTTAATAATAATGAAACCTATTGGAACAGCGTCTATCCTCGGCTAGGCAATGACTCGTTGAGAGAGGGTGGAAGAAAGATATTTTAGCTCGGACTACGACCACCAGAGGGTACTAGGAGTCAGAGCAGGGAACTGATTTGCATAACTAGTTGGCTACATTAGTGGTGGGGGAAGGCTGGATTGAATTGTACCTTTTCTCAATTGGCCCTCGAAGCTACTGATAGGTTTACAGCCGCGCCGGTCCCAGATCCCAGATAGCCGATCCACGGGTCTACTTTAATTGACAGTACTCCTCCGTCGTCTTGCCCCACTTTATAATTACCTACTATTGACGGAGAGGATTGTTTCGAGTTTTCCTTGGGTCACTTAAATTATTTTCGTGTTTTTCATTTTCTGAGGTGATAGATGACTAGTTATTCAGACTATCCTATAGTAAAAAAAAAAAATTAACAATAACAATATAAATAACTGCAAAATTAATTTTAATTTTATTAAAAGTTATCGTATAGTTGCATAACTATACAACCATCTAGTAGCAGACCTCAATTTTTTAAGGGACCTTTATTTTTTTTTCTTATAGCAATTATTCCTCTGGAAGAAAAAGAAAAAAAATATAAAATAATCATTAAGTGTTCCTTAAGGACTGCTAAACAAACAACACAAAATGGTAATTATAGCAACAATAATGCTTTTAGGAACAGTATTTTAACTTTTTTTCTTCTCAGGTAACTGTATTGAATTTATTAACTTACATACGCATTACATTTTTTTAAATAGTACATATTGTAATTTTTTAACTATTTAGCCGATATTACCCACAGAAACATATCTGCACCTAACCGAGAGTTAATGAACACAATGTACTATTAGTTCAGGGCAGAGATGGGCAAATGCTACTTTGAATACCGAGTACCAAGTATTTTACTCAAATTGAATCACTTTTGGAAATTCACTCACTACTTCAGCTAATCGCTTGACATCAAATGAAGTAGTAATTAAATTCTTTGGTACTCAGAAAAGGTCAGTATCTGGGGAAAAGACTTGGTATTCAGTAGTCAGAGTAACCATTGCCCATCTCTGGGTCATGAGAGCCAATTTTGCATAACTTTAAGCTATTAAAAGTTGTTTCTTAGTTACAAAATCTGTTCCGCCGAGGTAAAGGACACCACATCTAGTGATGCCCAAAATCGGTCTTGGTCTTGTACTTTGAAAGACCAAGACCGCCTGACTGGTAAACAAAATTAATTTTAGTGAATACAAATTAGGGCAAAATAGTTACTAATACTTGACAATTTTAGTTAACATATGTAAAGAATTGTTATAAGCAATATACTTTTGCATTTGACTCTTCCAATTTTTCATTCGGGCTTAGTTAGGTTTCTCATGTCTGAAAAATTACAGTAATATCTCTATAATAATAGTCTAATAGGTAACTGCAAGAATATTGCGAGACTCTTGCATATGGACAAGCATGTCACGTTTTTGTATTTGTTCAGAGCAACCAATTTTCCGTAACTTTGAGCTATTAAAACGTGTTTCTTAGTTCCTTAATTATTTAATAAAAAAATGGATGTCCTCCTCCTCAGTAGATATGGCTGAGCAACCATTTGAAAAATGAAATAAATAAACATAATTTGGTAGATAATTAGCGCCCTGATAGAATCATCGCAATAATGTTAAACATTTTATCTCATATCTCATATCTATTTTATTTGACAGATTAATTCAAATAAGTGGTTGCCGAGAAGAGGGTGCAAATTTTGCCATCAAAAATTTTGATAGGGAGATATGTTGACAGGATTTTAAATTTTTGAGGGAGGAATAGGCACTTTTCGAGGTGTCATGCACTTTCAAACTAGTTAGCAAGTGGAGACCATGGAGATTACCATAGATTATGATTTTTATATGGTCTACGAATCTTTAAACTATCTTTAAACTGAGGGGTCATGCACCATCGTTGTTGGTGGAGGGATAGGCACTTTAGTTCAAATAAAATGTGTTAAATTCAGATAAGTAATGCGTATTTACTTTTATTATTTATCAATGAAAACATTATCTTTGTTATTAAACAGAATTTTGTCTATAGGTATTATGCCGTAAGAACATTCTTCTACATAGGAAGTAGATAAATTTGAAGGAAAATTGATATATTTTGGTAAGTCCTTCTTAAAATAAAAGGACAGATCTTTAACTTAAATTCTAGGCCAATCTTAATGTATTCTGGGTCTGCACGCACTATAAGATCATCACACTAAAATCCGACTGCATATGTGATGCTGCTAATAAATAAAGAGGTAAAAAGTTAATAAATTGTAGAAGAGAAGAAAAAAAAGAAATTTAAAAAAAAAAGAGAAAAAGAAGGAAACTTCAAACCGGCATCTCAATTCCTAGAGGCAACGGACCGTTTCTCAAGAGCCCCTGTTACGGCCGATGGAAGCCAGTTCGCTCGCATTCTGGCTCGCTCCAAATGGCGCAGAGTAATTGCTCAAGTGGCGGGTTTTCTCTCAGCGAGCCACCGAGGAATTGCAGAAAAAAGAAGATAGGACGGGAGGGGTGGGGAGGGGGAGCTGGAAATAAATAAATCATCGGGCTATCTCCAGGTTTACTCCTTGCATTATTGATCGCTCCACGGCCATGTCACGCCCAAATAGACATTTCGTCATGGGCGCATTGTTCCTGAGGACTCTTAATGGTGACGATTAGACTTTCAATTTCAGCGAGAATAGAGTCTTTAATTGCTTCGGAGGCTGTGGTTAGGTTAATAGCTGATGTTTTTGTTAGAGGCGAAGGCACGTACGTGTTGATTAACACGTGCTGGTGTTCGTCATTGTTGGCTGTCGTTAGGCAACTAATTAATGGGTCGAAACAAAACAAAGATTGCGTCTGTTTGCCTTTGTATTCTCATTCTGACACGATTTCATTTCTCCAAATCATCCTTGATAGTGATTTGAATCAGAGATGTGAAAATATGATAGATTTCAAGAAAAATAGGTAACCTGGTGAGCTACCTTAAATAATAAAATAATAAATAAATAAAAACAATATTACATGAGCTTTCCAGACCTATGTTCCTGATGAATCTTCCTATACCAGACCATTGGAACACGGAGACCCGCCTATATTCTACAGATCCTACAATTCAAACGCTTCTTTCAATCCCGTCACACCAGATCCTATTCATCCGACCTCTATCCTCCTCCTCACCGAACTGCTGCCTTTGATAAATCATTTTTAATTCAAGTTTTCTCCCTCTATACCCTCAGATATTTGACACGCAAAATCAATATCCTCTTTCAAATCTCTCCTCTTCGAACACCTACTCCATTCCCAATCCGATTGATCACGAAATGCACTTAAAAACCTAAGCTGAAAGAATTTCAAAGTACACCCAGATACTCTGATTATTTTATGATTCGTTGATATCTTGTTTACTAAATTACTTTCTCTGTTTATTTTATATTTATTCACGTTTTTATATCTTTTTATTATGCATAATTCTATTGTAATCATCCTATGAATACTAAACTGTAGTTTATGGACACACCAGAATATTAATATACTTTCTGTATTTGTAACTTGCTCTAAAGGGACACTAGTCCCAGAATAATAAAATTATTTTCATTCATCTAAGTATAGTCTTGCAAGCTCCCATACCTCTAAAAAATTTAAAACTCCAACTAGGCGTTAACCATTACCTTTTCTTTTCGAAAAGTTAAAACACACTAATGTCCAATAAAATCCATTAACCCGTTAGTTATCTAACTACTACGATAAATATTCATACATTAAAACTATCTACCAATGATAAAATAACTCAATAATATATAAGAAAATAAATTTTAGGTTACCATTGAAAAACCTAACAGCTTTTTGTCTTTAAAATACTGGAAAGGACGAAATAATCCATCAACGTATATATATGTGGTCTCGGATACCACATCTCGCGGTCAAAAATCTTATGGTCTGTAGCGCCAACCGAAAAAAAAAATTAAATAAAATATATGTATATACATATATATATATATATAATAGTACAGTTTTTCAATTGACAGAATGACTAACTCCAATTTCAACATTTTTGAATAAAATCATTTTTAGTGATATATCTCGTTAGAAAATTTTTATTATCTATACAGACATTGAGTGAATTGATTCCAGAGTAAGTGATTGCAGTTTTAAAATATAGAACTGTGAATAAAGGTATAAATTTTCTTACTATTTTATCACGCGAAATCGGAGTCGGTCATTCGGTAATCAACTGAATAGTTCACTTCATCCAATCGCATCCAATTTCTCTTCATAGTAAGTCAAACCTCGACACAATATATAAATATTACTCATTTAACAAAATGTGTATTAATCTTTTCACGATTTGTCAGTGTTAGCATATATTTATGTGTTAGTATAGTTTGTTTTTATATTGATTTAAAATGTTTAAAATAATAAAGTAAATATTAAGAGAATCTGTATAAAAATAATGAAATGGATGTCATCTATAAATTTGTTTCATCAAACACTTTTAAAGATATTTGGATCATTATATTGATGTTGTATGATCATAGAATTATTTATGTATAGTGAGTGATATTAATAATATTATAACCTAATATACCTAAACCAATACATTACCGCAAAAAACAAGCACTAGAGATGATTTACAAATATATTACAGTCGTAACTTTTTATGAACTTGTTTGGTAACAGCTTGACCACCAGACCGTGATCGCTAGTAGGTTCCGAATAATGGTGGTAGTGGTTTAAAATTATTTTATAACATTTTATTTGGGACGTGTTTATAAATATATTCTTTAGCCTATACTATGTTTAAAACATACAATAGGCCGGTTATATTTAATAAGTGCTACAAATTTAAGGAATGTAAAAATAGTTGCACATTTAAGAGTAAATAGTTATATAAATACTTGGTATGTTACATGACTATATTTATGAGGTTTTCTGATTTGTTTTCTAATTCTACTTTATAGAAACTTTATTTCGATTGAATGAAGTCATGTAAATAACTGTAAGAGAAGCATGTCCCTTCTTTAAAAAATCTATTTTTTAGGAAAAATAAATCAAAGTAGGATTATTAATTTGTAACAGGTTACAAACATTATAGGAACAGTGATGGATATGATAACGGTGTATTTATTTGAAAATGTTCAAATAGATTCGATATTATCCAACACTGTATAAACGATTGGGGAACCGATTTATCAATAGAGGCCGCAGTAAGGACTAGGTAGTGCTAATGGAAGCCGTAATAATTCTTTATATTTTACCATTGCTATTTTTATTTATCAATAAATACAAACACCCACATACATTCAACTTAATTCAATTTATTGCCAAGTAGGCATTACTAAAATAATTAAGTATTGATTAATTCTACCACTAGATTAATAAATATCGCACAAAAACGTTTGGAGGACGCAACTACGTCACAGAGGCAACATGCAGCCACACGAGGCCTCGGTTCCCCACCTATGATGTATACCATCAAACAGCTGCTTTTTTTGTTCAATAGAATGATTTTTTTTTTTTTAAATAACAGAAATATATGGAAAAGTTGATTTCGTAAAAATGGCGGATAGGGACACGTGTTGTATAAGAAAAATTCCAACATGGAAGACACTTGGAAAAAGAGCTCCTCCAAGTTTCTCTGAGAATTCCCGGTTTTTTTCCACAACTCCTTTTCTGCTCCTCCTCTCGCATTCCCATCTTCGGTTATTTTAATTGGGATACCTCCCTTCCTTTCTGCCGTCCTGGAGCCTTCAACTTACTGTGGTGGCACACCCCCTAACTGTCTTAGGGAACTTAGCATCTGTGATTAGTTGGAAGACGATTCATATCCGAATGGGTGATTGGAACAGTTGAAAACTTATTTTAGGGCTGGATGAGTATATCTATGGGTAAAAACTAAAAAAATAGTATGTAAACTTTTTTAATAATTTTATTTTTTTAACTTGTAGTAGTGAAGGTCAATTATTGTCTCATAAATACCATAATTCCCAAAGTGAAGTTTTTTTTTCTTAATTCTAATTCTTAGAATCTCTACAAAGAAAAAAAAAGGACGATAATTCCGAATATTAAAAATCAAGAGTGGGTGAAGTAGTCAAATTTATAATATTTAATCTTCTTAATGAGATCGCAGCAATCAAACTTCTTAATCAATTAATGAAAGGTGGTTTGGGCTTTAAATAAAATAATTGTGCTTTAAATATTACAGTTCATTAAAACTTCAATTGTTTTAGGGCTGCAATTCAGATGAAAAATATGAGCGCATTCTTGATTTTCTGTATAATAAAATATTCATAATTTTACTATTTAGATTTATATCATAAGATGGATAAGAGCTCAAATTTTCAAACCATTAATAGTTTCATTTATCTGCAATATTTATACAATGATTATATGTACATATATATTACTATTCGACTCAAACTGGTTATCCTATTACACACCCTTTTAATCAAATTATTAACTGCCTGAAACTTGGTGAAAGTTTTCATCTTAACGTAACATGCGACTTTTTATTTACTAAAATTCTAGTAGATGGGGCGTTTTCAATCTGGAGATCATTAAACTCTGTCTGTTTAATTTGGTATTGAAATCTCATACACACATATTTGCTTTCCACCTGAATCGTAAGATATTTTGCTCGGTATCAACCCCAAAATGTCAAAATAACGATGTTATATCGGCCAGACGGTCAAGTGTTTCCCAAAATCGGTCTTGATCTTGTAAAGTGCAGACCAAGACCAAGGCCGCCTAACTGTTAAAAGATCAAGACCTGGACCGGCAAAAAAAATCAATTTTCGAAAATATAAATTAATGCAGAATAGGTACTAATACTTGACAATCTTAGTTACTATATGTTAATAATTGGTATAACCAATATATTTTTGCATTTAACTCCTCTAATTTTTCATTCAGGCTCTATTAGGTTTCTCCTATCTAAAAAATTACAGTATCTTTACAGTAATAAGCTAATAAGTAACTGCAACACTGTTGCGAGACTCTTGCGCAAGACCAAGGCTATGACCAAGACTGAGTGTGCATGACTCGTCTCGGTCTCGCATCTGGGCAACACTAAGACGGTCCAATAATACTTGTATTTACGTATTATTATTACTTTTTTCAGAAATCTTACAGTGAACAATTTAAAATTAACACAAACAATTGATTATATTCTGGAACAATTAATGAAAAAAATCAATTCTACTTCTATTAGATCGATTGAAAAATCATCTACCACAATAGGGTATTAAGTAAATTGTCAATAGATTCCGAATGAGTGAGAACAAGGTTGTAAATCAGGTGTTAAATTGTAGTGGCATAACTCTGGGTGTGCAGACCGCCGAGTCTTGGGCCGGTTTACGACTTTTTGAATGGGCAGTAAAAGTCGCAGTAAAATCTCTGAGCTCCTGGGTGTAGGCCCTCGGGCGTCGTCATGAGCCCCCTCCCCTCACCCCCCCCCACCCGTCCTCCCTTTGAATAACGATTTGTTGTGATGTGTTCCTAAGTATGGTCCGGGTTTATTGCACTGCGGTCGGTCCTTTCAAGAGGACAAAACACAACTACTTGTGGACTCAGAAGGTTGAAGCAGATTCGACAAGACAAGAAACATGACAAGTGATTACTTTTGTAGTATGATTTTATCCTTTGAAATTTAATTGTAAATCTCTAAAAGATCTTTAAACAGGGAATTACATAAATAAATGTTAATATATATATATATATATATATATGTATATATATTTTTTTTTCGCCGCTATGCTCGAGAATGCTAAAGCGGACCAGGCTCTGGCATTCTCAGCCCCTACTATCTATCATAATGAGACTTGACACAAACGTTTATCGTTCCAAACAATGATAGATATGGTAAAGGAAAATATAAAGCAATATTATCTCTTCTGCATTATACCTGAGATCATGGGAAGAAATCTCTCATCCAGCTTCTTATTAGAATCTATCTAACATTGCAAGGGAGCTATTTTTTTATTTGTCTATTGGCTTTATTTTTATTTTTCGGTGTCATTATTTATAATTGTTATTAGGTTGTGAATTTTTCGATGATCTTATTTTTTTTACCATAAGTATTATAAGAATTATTATGTAGTGAAGATTTCGATAATTTGTGTTACCCAAACGCGCGAACGAGAAGAGTCTTAGTCTTGCTCACTCAGTCTTGGATATGGTCTTGGTCTTGTGCAAGAGTCTCGCAGTCACTTATTAGCTTATTACTATAGAGATATTACTGCAATTTTCTAGACAAGAGAAACCTAACTTTGCCTGAATGAAAAATTAGAGGAGTTAAATGCAAAAGTATATTGGTCATGCCAATTTTTACATATAATAACTAATATTGTCAAGTATTAATAACTATTTTGCCTTAATTTTTATTCAATAAATATATTTTTTTTATCAGTTCTGGTCTTTGTCTTGCAAAGTGGAAGACCAAGACCGATTTTGGGCAACTCTATCAATAATCATGTCTGTACCAAAGAAGTATGCACAAGTCTAATTTAGCTTGTTATGAATTTATAATAATACTTGAATTATTCTTTCTGTACTTTTTTTTTTTTTTTTTTTTGGCCATAAGTGAATAAGCCATAATGATAATGAAATGTGAAATCACTTTTCAACTCAAGCAATACACTGCGATTGATAAATTTCGTTTGTTTTTCTGAAAATCATTGAAATATTACTGTAGTTTACACATTTTAAGGTATACATGATCACTAATATAATTATGTAAAATATTTTATAAATGATCATGTAAATTAATAGTCAGCACCATTGGGGGAATACCGCAAATCTCTCAGTAATTACTACCTTTGCTTCAAACAAATTAATAGTTTATCTAGGAACATCCAATCTAAAGTTAATTTCTTAAAAACTGGTCCTATGTCAGTGACCTTTCCCACCCAATTAAAGATTAGATCCTTCGATAAGGGCAGGTCCTACCAATCAACACGCCGTTTCGGGGACGCCTGATTGGTGGATTGGACCCTTGCTGTTTCAGGTCCAAACGAATGTTTAGCAACTAATTGACGCTTTGTCGACGCCTGATGAAAATAGCGATCGGTGCTCAATATTCATGAAAGAAGAAGACACGCGAACGAGACAGTTCAACGTTGCCGTTCAGGGCACGGCCGCTGTTGCGCTATTGATCTATTACAGGGGAGACTCCCGAGGGAATGCCGGCTCTGGCAACGTCGGTGAGAAAAAGCGCTCTTCCAGGAGTATGGAGGGTCATTGCTTGAAGGGGACGGTTCCACTCTTCAGAAGGGAAACAACTAAATAATCCATTTCTTCAATCCATGAATTTGTGGATCAGAGGGTTGAAGCAAATTAAGGACACAATTATTATCATTAAACCTTCCTCTTAAAACGACATGAAAGACCCAAAAGACCAAAACTGTTACAAGTGAACAAGAATTCATGTTCCTTCCCTTCCGTAAGACATAGTCCTAACACGAAAGAACAGACACACTAATTTTAAAACTAATCTTAGTGAAGAGTTCCAAAAAGAAAAAGGTGCTTGTTGATTGTTATACTTTACTTCTATTTACTACGAAGACATTTAACAGATTATATATATTTTCATCCGGCAAAGTCTAAATTTGTAAGAACATTTCGGACACACCAGCAAGAAGCGGATTAGTACAATTCAGATCTGCGAGAGTTGTCGGTTATTTACAGGTTAATGTATGGTACCTATAGATTTCGGGGTTCACACATAGGCTCAGATATCTTGGTAATATTCTTCACAAGCTTTCAACAATGAAGGTGAAATTTAATCAACAAGTAATTCTTATTTTGCTGATTTGGGCATGTTGTAAACGACATCTTTCAGATTTCATATAGACTATTTTTTTTTTTTTTTTTTTTGTGTTGGCAAATCCACCTAATATTGAATTTTAGAAGTATGAAAATGGAAGTAGAACTTTAAATAGAAGCAACTTAATGAATTGTGGTTAGAAAAGTTGGGGTAGTTTTCTATTATGCTACAAAAAAAAAATTACTTCTTCAGGATGTCTTAATAACGAATGCAAAGTATTCAAGTAGCAATGAATAATGAACCAATCAGATTCCTGCTGACTGTTGACAATAATGTACAAACATTTGTTTCACATAATTTATCATCAAAGAATAGTGTAGGGACATTCCAAAAACTTTCTACTCTATACATCAATGTTTTTATTACAATTATTTTTTTACTTTCCTACCTATAATAGTAGGTATTGCGATCAGGTCAAATTTTTAATATACAATTAAATTATTACGCATAGTTACGTTATGAAATGATGTTGTGTTTGTACATTATGTTTTTTTACTTTTATTGTTATATTCCGCATATACCCGAGCCGGTCATTAGCGGCTTTAGATGGAATTAGATTAGGTGGAAAAATTTGATGTCTTTTATGAATTCAAATACTTTTTGTATCTTCTCTTCGTCATCTGAAAGTGCGTCAGACATGTTGGAAGGTATATTATGTTTTGTTCTGGTGTACAGAGTATAGTCTGCAAGTCGTTACAATGTGTTGTGTGTGTCAGTGCAATAGATGTGTTGCATGTTTTACAAAATGGTGGTTCCAGACCTCTCATTATTATTTTTTTTGTTTATTGTTTAGTTGTATTTACATAGTTTTTAATATTTACGTACTCGTACATTTTATATGAACAGATTCAGCTCTCTTTTTTGCTTAGATGAAACTCAGAGATTATAGATAAAAAGCATTTAATTTTTTTTTTTTTTTCTTAGAAGTGTATATTGTGTTAGAAGTGTGTTTTATCATTGTATATAGTTTTAAGTGTCTCTTTCATAGCTCTATTTGATTTGTGTATAGCATGTTTACTTGATGTTTTCTTTACTTTTTTTATTAATTTTATTGTTTTATACCATAGGCCAAATGCAATCTCTTACTTTTGTACACTTACGTTGTTACTCTCAAGGGACTTTGTCCCAGAATAAAGTCATTTTCTATCTATATATTTAATTTTCAGAAATCTTATTAGAATTCGAACAACTTTCGGAAATCAAAATTTCCGCAGTATACCCAACTTCAAAAAGCTAGTCTGCTTTCAAGGAGATATTAAGGTTGGGATATAGAAAATACCCAAGTACCTATTATAGTAGTATTTTATCTCGACAAAGTATTGGGATCTGAATGTACAACTGCTGGCTCTTAACAACATTTTCTTTTGTTTTTTACCGAAATAAAGATGACGAAATTCAAATAATTTGCATTCACTCAATCGGATCTTGATACCGAAAGAAGTGGTGTCACAGGCCCTACCTACATAACTAGCGCTACCGCTTTCCACGGCGGATATTTATGGCACTAATGATCAAGCAACTGCATTCATTAGCCTTTATCTATAAATGGCCCCTTGTAATTCCTACCGGTCAATCGCTATGTCGGCTAAAGAGCAAAAATCGACAACTTGGGAGTCCTATCGAAAAGACAATCCTAAGTTACCTTATAAGGCGCAGTGTGATGGACGTAATTAGGATTATTTAAATGCCACACACACCCAGCCGATATCAACATTTCAAATCATAGAGGAAAAAAATGCCCAAAAAAAAAAGTTGGGCCAATAGTCAAATGGCAATAACCTAATAAACATCCCAATAATACAGAAACAAATAAACACTAATTCAAAACATATTTTATCAGAAATTAAAAAAGCAGGAAGAATAAATGGTAATAAATGTTTGAATTAATGTTACTACAAAATTAAAAATATATTTTAATCTTGTTGGAACATATGGAGGATTATCAGCTATAGCCACCCATTGTTATACATATAAATATTTATATTTTTTTTGTGTATAAACGTTTTTATTGAGAAATATTACAATATGTCTCAATGAAGGACACTTAGAGTCCAGATATTAGAGTTCAGAGAGCCTGTTCACACCATATTTACAAAGTATTAAATAAATAAATTAATAAAAATATAATACATATAGAAATAAGAGAAAAATAAAATATCATAGCAAGTGAAGAAAAAATAAAATAAAAATAAACAAAAAATAAAATAAACTACATATATATATATATATATATAGGTGTGTGTGTGTGTACTTTGTCAGTAGTATACTTTTCCTTTTGGAGAATTTTTTACTGAACAAAGGAGATCCTAAAAAAGACCAAACTGGTTGAACAAATATAATAAAATATTATTGAAAAAGTGAGATAATAATAGTGGAGTATATACATTATTATTTATATTATATTCAAAACTCATTTTTCATCTATTGACTTGTAACACTTTTTTATACAACTAAAATTGTAGATTCTTGTTTAATTCGATAATAGAAAATTTCTTCGTACAAAGATTTTAAAAAGTTGATTATTCGTTGGCATTTTCGGAAGAAAAATTTAAAATACTTAAAAGCTTGCTTCTTAGAAAACAATTGTTTTTTAATTTTTTTTCGGGCAGTATACCTTTTATTTTTATTCGAATTACATAATAGATACCTAATATATATAATTTGTTTAATGTATTTTTATTTAAAGTTTCTATACAGTTTATTACTCATAGCTTTTAATTTTTTGTAAATAGCTAATCCAATTTTATTAATTTAATAGCAAATTTAATAGCAAAATGAAAAAAAAAAATCTAGCAGAAATTTAGAAAGTTAATTTACCAATACTGATTAAATAATTAAAACATATACATATGTATAGAATTAAATTTAGTTATATTGAAATAATAAAATGCAATGTGTTTCTGAAATCAACAGTAACATGGTCTGAATAATTTAAATTTATGTAACTATAGATCTTCATGGAATTCTTAAAAAAAAAAAAAGATAAATTTATTGTTATTCCTAAAAAATCTTATATATGTTTTTTTGAAATTTATAAGTAGGTATTAAGAATTAAGTGAGAAAAATATTAACCCTTCCAAATCATTATTTTTTTTTAGAGAGAAAAAATTTATAGTGAAACTTCTGGACTTCCAGAAGATGGAAAGATTTTTCAAACTGTTACCGAGAGATGGGTTGTCATTTGCCGCCAAGATGAGAAAGCCCAACTCCAGGTCAGCCATATTGAGAAATCCCCTCCAAGGGTCTGGCGCATGCGCCGCTCTAAACAGCTGTGCCATTCAAGTTCTCTGTTTGTTTACATCAATTTCTTCAATTAAATTCATTTAAAATGTTCATGTTTCGTTTCGATTGATTCAATAAACGTGTCTGCTTATTGTTTTAATCTAAAATTCGACTTATTTTCAACAGAATATGAAAGAAATCAGGAAAGACTCAAAGCGTTCAAAATGGAGGACAGCGTGGGCGTCATCTAGGCTTTGTTTTCAGTGTTTAGTGTTGTTTAATTTTATATTTAATCCTCTCAAAGAGTTAAAATGAACAATTCATAACGATAACAAGTAAGTTGACTGAAAATATTAATTAGATTTTTTGCCTGTACTTAACTTTGACTAGAGTGAGTGTAATTTTTGTATTGAGACAAAATAAAATAGTTCAAAATGATGTGTTTTCTATTTTAATAGATCTTTTATCCTTCTTATCTTTGTAGTATTATATCTAATATTTTTTTTCTTTAAGTAGTGATCTTTTAAAATCAATAAACTATGTCACATTGCTCATCTCATGATTGGTTATCAATTTGTGTTTTTTATTTTTGAAAAAGTAGAGAAACTCTGTGAGATAGTTACCTTCTTTTAACCACTCGTAATTTCCAACTGTAAACATTTTAAAAATAGATGTTTTATAGCATTAAAAGATTGATTTTGTGTTGTATATTTAAAAATAAGCAAAAAACAATTAAAGTATTTAAATTGTAGTACAATACTTAAGAGTCTATCGCAGTATTTAATTTATTTATTGTCCAATATAGAACTGTGAGTTTGGATCAATAACTTTGGTTTTTATTTCAAAGTGTTACTAAATAAAAATTGAAAGCCAAATTTTAAAATGTACATTTTTTAAATTTTTCTGCAACCATACTAACCTAAGTAAGTATTACAAATTATTTAAATCTAGATGAGTACTTTTAAAGATGAAAAGTTTAATTAATTTCTGTCTTAAGTTTAATTTAATTAAAAAGAATTTTAAAAATAAACTATCACTGTAAATAAAAATGTAAAAATAAAGTAATCAATACCTGGTATTGAAGAATAAATCTCTGCAGAATATACATCAAGAGGAGAATCGGCAGGAGTTAGGGGCGAATGGGGGCGGTTTTTCCAATTGTGTTTCCCAAGATGACCTATATCTCACTGTAGAGATCAATAATATCTCTTCCTGCCGATTTTTCTTCATATTATTCCATAGCCCGAGGATATAGGTGAGATTTCTCATATGATTT